TCAGAAATGTGGGATGAAATAGTGCTAATGGGGATTATTCTTTGCTTCGAACGTTTCAACACAAAAAAGAGCCCCAGCAAAAAGACAAAAGGTGAAGTGATTGAAGTGAAGGAATGGCAATGTCGGTCTGAATTATCGGATAAATGTTCTGATAGACCCCCTCCCTCAGGAAGCAGAGAGACTACTTCTCGGTACTCACACGGAGTGAAAAAGAAAAAGAGTGAGAGGAACAGAGAGAGAGAGAGAGAGAGAGAGAGAGAGATTTTGGGAGTGAGGGAGCGAAGAGCATGAAGTGACCCTTTATGCAGGTGAGGAAAGGAAGGTCCTTTAATGCCCAGAAATTGCTAAATGGGGCCAATAAAAGCAATCTCTCTCTCTCTCCCTCCCTCTTTCCTTCCTTTTAATTTATTTCTCTCAACGAATTTATTGCTCTTTTGGGTGACTGCATTGGGAAACGGTTGAAAAACAGAACAGAATCATGCGGATGTCCCGGGCTTTTAGGGTGCAAAACAGAACAGAATCATGTCGATGTCCCGGGCTTTTAGGGTGCGTTTCGCAACTATTTTATTCTCGAAAATAATTTCTGTCCAGAAATTTTTATTATGTTCTCGAAAATAACTAGTTTATGGCTTTCTTTTTCCTTAAAAAATTGATTTTTATGCTGTGACCCCACTTCGAAAATGTCGGTGTCGACTCTCCATCCCTCTTTCCGGGAAGCTCGCTTGGGGCTTTGGGATATGAGGAAATTGGCCACTTTTTGAAATTTCGAATGTGATGCATGAGAGTGAGAGCCCAAGTCCTTGCTTTTACCCTTATTTACTGCAGAATGGAATGGGGTTGGGCCTCTTCTTTTCCTGTTTTTTTTTTCTTTTTAATTTTCAAATCAGAATCTGTTCACATGTCAGTTTTTTTGCCAAATCACTTCTTTCATTTCATCACCGCAATAAATGAAATAAGATATGAAGACAGATCTATAGGGGTGATTAGAATATAGAAATGCTTACGTGACTGTCATTAATTTACTGTGAGAATAACAATATATTTTGAAACATAAAAAAATAAAAAATAAATAATTATAAATTGTTGTGAGTTTCACTCATTCAAGAATTTATGCATCGCAACATACTTATATTCCGACGGTAGCTCGAACAATGCTATGCTAGCAAAGTCCAAATATAATATGATATTATTTTGCACTAAATCTAGTGAGAGTCGAAGCTGTATCTTACTTCATGTCCACAAGTATTTCCATTCCGTAACCACTAAGGCTGCGTTTGGTCGTCCGGATTTCTAAACAGGATATGACTGGATAGGATATGAAGAAATCCCAGGATTTCTTCATATTCTGTCCACTGTTTGGTGGACTACGGATTTAAAGTCAAATAGGATAATTTTTTTTTTTTTGCTATTCACGGGTCCGGAGGAGTCAGTGAAGGAAAAAAAGCCGAGAAATTTTTTGGGTGAAAGCGCACAAGGTGTGGGGATGAAGATGACGGCGAGTGGAGTGTAGGGTTTCTGGAAAAATAGGCATTAGAAATCCTATCCGGGTCTATCCCACCCCCCCACCGGATTTTTTTATCCGGTCTATATCCGACCTTATCATATCCTGGACCACCACCAAACACAGGATAGGATAAAATATATCCTATCCTGGCTTTTATCCGGTCGACCAAACGCAGCCTAATCGTTTTCTTAATAGATTCTCTTCCTCCTTCCAAATGGCAATAATTTCTTTTTTCAATTTATATTTGAATTTAAAGGATTGAGTTGCATTGATCAATTCTTTCTGAGCACGATATTCGACCCGACCTGGCCCAACACAATGATGCGGGCCCATATTACAAGCGAGCTAGGCCCGCTTAATAAATTAGCTGAAGGTTCCGCTCAATAAATTGGCCTAATACTAGGCGTGGAAATATATTATGGGGATGCAAATAAGAGGCTTGAAAAGACATCTTGCACGTTTTTCTTCTTGCTACAGTACTGATGAATAATACATTGCTACAGTAATAAGATATGACATCAAGAAGTTTGAATTTCATCTTCTTGGATATCATTTTGTAGTTGAACTAGATATGTCTTCTTTCTCCCAAATGCTGAAATTCAAATAAAAGCAAATTTCTTATCCTCAACTCTTCAAATGGGTAGAATGGTTTTCAAAGTTGCAGAAATTTCCTGATGAGAATCTTTCTCTCAAACGTATTCAACGATTTTGTTCGATGAAAGCATGATTTGGTAGTTAAATATTTTAACATGTATATTTTCAGAAAAGTTGGACACCCTAAAGAAGTTGTATCAGACGGACCGGTGTGACAAAAGGAAAAATACTTATTCATGCTTTGTTCGTGAGGGAGGAAAAGTTCAAGAGGAAAACTTCCCTGCCCCGTTCTTCTCACAACCCGATACCCGAAGAAATCGTTAGTCTTGCTCTTCGCTCTGGTCGCCCACAGTATCGAGCGCAGATGTGGTGACGATGGTGATTATAAGCGACTAAACAGGATCTTCACAAATTAAATGCGTGCATACTACTCTAAGTTAATATGCGGGCCCATATTACAAGCTAGCAAATTATCAAAAGGTTTAGGACTAAATTGACACAATTTAAGTACGACTCCCCTTCTTTGTAATTGGTGCGTATTAGTATATATACATCTTACCTTACAAAAAAAAAATTGACACAATTTAAAGGTTCGGGACTAAATTAGCAAATCGTCAAAATGTTTGAGACTAAATTGGGCAAATTGAAAAGTTTAGGATTGAATTGACACATGTGCAATAGGTTTAAGACCTTTTCGATAATTTCCCCCAAAAATTTGTGACAATTTACGATTTAAATTGGAGAGGCAATTCTGCAACCGTGAATGGCTTTTGCATAGCCAAATTCATGAACAAGGTGGTGAAGGGGCATCTTTAACAAGGTGATTATTACATATGGGCTTCATGAGCTCCAAAAATCCAGAGATAAAAAGGAAAAAAGTTGTAAATGATTGGATTCAAGGATAAGTAGACCTCTTTTGCTGATCCTTAATTAACAAGGCAAAGCACTCGAAGCATTCTATTGAGGCCATCGCATGCCTTCGTTATTGAGACAAATTCCAACTTCATTTCCCTACTTCGTACTATGAGAAAACAAGAAAGTAAACACACCAAAATGAAAAGGCATTGAGAGTGACTGCCAGGACTAAACAGGCCAAAACACCTTGAGATCTACTCTGCAGCATGTGCTAAGACCGACGAAATCCTTGCCCTGGTCAGCCGCCGCATCGGCATCGCTTCACGATGAATAGACGGGGACCGCCATCTTCTGGTTGGCGAAGTCGCAGTGATACGAGCAGATGAAGTACCATGTGCCGGCGCTCGTCAGTGTTATCTCGTCATGGCCACTGGTAAAGGTCCCGTAGTATGTACTCGTCGAGCATGTGTTGTACCCATTTGCATCAACGGAGACCACATCATGAGCGGTGTTGTCATAGATGAATACTGTCCATTTACATGAACGCTTAGAACCGGTTCAGTCGAAGCCATAAACACAAAAAAAGAAATGACGACATGCTCCCATTCATCCTATTGCCGTTATTCAATTTAGAAACTGACTGTTCGATTTATCCAAATCACAATCGAAGTACAATCTGGACAAACTAAACATGATAAACGACATGCACGTAGTCATTCGGCATCGGTAAGTGATGTCCATGCAGATTGTATATGTAGACATGCCGCTTCAGCCAATTCGTGAGAACATGCATTTCCTACTCTTATAATGACAACGGCAAAATCGATTACCTAAAACATCATTGACATAGAAAGTCTTGTCGGCGACCCACGTATCGAGATCAATATCATAAGACCAGCCGAAATCGTCCCCTACATTATATGAAGCGGCATAGCTCAAGGATGGAAGAATCAACACCAACATCATCACCACCGCCGCGACATTGAGAAAGCACTTTCCTGGACGTGCCATTTCCGAGCTAGTGTGGGGAGTGAAGTGTGTTTTCTATGGAGATAAGAAGGTGTTTCTTGTGCGTCTGTGTCTGTGTGTGATTGCATTTATGTACTGTCAGGCTTGCTCATACTTATACTACACGAGAGGGCAGTTCATTACGCTTGGTGATTTCATGCATTAAGTGATTACCCATTGGAAAATGCTTTGGTATACTCGCCATGGCGATGAGATAAACAATGCAGAAATTGGCTCAAAGTGGGTCATCCTTTTCTGTAGAAGGCGGTCGAGTCATAAATCCTAAAGCTCAAACAGTCAAAAATCCAACTCTTTCAGCTACCGGCCGGGTCCATAGGGATTGCCGATTTTGTCGACCCATTAAGAAGGATCACGGCGAAAATTATCCAAAAAAATTATAAAACCTATTATATTTTTGCCAATTCAATCATAAATCTTCCAATTTTGCCAATCGATTCCTAAACCTTTTTCACATTTTGTCAATTGAGTCTATCCGACCAAAGTATCGATAATATGTAACAAATTGTAATTCAACCTTTGAGAAGGTAATTCTGTGACTCCGAATGATCATGCATCACAAAAATATTGAAAAAAAATGTGGAATGTGATAAAAAAGAGTTTATGAAATGTGACAAGAAAAACGGATCAATTTGGTCCTCGTTGAGCTTCAAAATCCATACGTTAACTGACAAAAAAATGGTAAACCGATGGCAAATTGGAATCCAACGGATTCAAGGATTGATCCAAGCTCTCTTCTTGATACTGATGAGTGAGGCAATTCCAACTTCATTTCCCTTCTTCTTAATATTTTCAAGTCTTCCCGCAAATTTTAACTAAACAAGATGAAGAGAAGGAAATTGGCCAATCACCAGAGAATCACCAAGTGTAATCATGGTTCTATTGTTGAAAACGAATTAAAAGAAGATCATCCCTCGTTCAAACCAAACGGTAAGGATTTCGAATATTTCAGTGAACCTGGTGACGGCGGCATTCAAAGCAAAGCCTAGTGTAGAGATCAGTAAACATTGCGTCAAGCGGGTGAAAATGAAATGAGAATTTGCAATTTGATTGAATCAATCAGAACCATCGTCTCTATATACACCATTACTAGAATCCGGATTAATCACAGGTTATTTAGTTTTCGACAATTGACCAGACGGTTTCAAAGGTTTCACAGGTTTCTTGACCATCTCTGCCTGCAATTCCAGCCCCTTCTCCGAAGGCCTGCGTTTTCTTTTTAATCGCGCTCCGTCTGTGTCCTCGGCAGTTGAATTCTCCATGGCTGCATAAGTTAGACAAGTCAGATGAAAAATCTTTCAGCCACACATGAACTCAGAGAATGACAATCTATTAACTTCCCCACAAGAGACAGAACACAAAACAGCCTAAGCATCACTTTCCTTTTACATGCTTAAAAACCATTAATCACTTATTTTGAAATCACATTTTCATCTACAGATTCCTGCAACTTGATTACTACCCCTCCTCCGAGACTCTCCTTTGCCCTCCTCCGTAACATCCATTAATAGTGTGCCTATATTGTCAGCTAAATTTTCATCACACATACTCAATGTAGTCTTTTCTGCCTCTATGCCATGTCAGAGAAAAAAATGCATTACCAAGATTCCTAGCAGTTGCTAAGCAAATCTAGAGGTGAGCAATATATCATGCAGACATTAAGTCAGGCATCTGCTTTAGGTAAGAACAATAGTCACAGGTACAACCTAATTGCTATATTGCAGGAATTGACAGGAAAATCCAGTCTGCTGTACAAGGGAAGCATCTGAACACTCAGAAAATACAGCAAGCGGGGAAAAGAAAACTTACGTTCGAGGGGGCTTGAATTATGGTTGCTCCCATTTCCATTCTGACCAGCCTCTACTGAAAGTGGCGATCCAGAATGGTTACCATCTGGCAACTTGGAATAACTGCCAACACACTTGTCTTGCTGCTCGGGACCATCAAGACAACGAACTGCAGGCAAAAAGCACAGTTCCTCCTGGGACATATCTGAGTCACTAAAAGCTGAATCCCTCTCCACAGTCAGAACATCAACTTCATCATCTTCATGAACATCTGGTTCTTTCACCTGTATGCATACACATTCAATAATTGTTAACCTTTCAAGCAAAATAAGCCAAGCTCATAATCTGCTCATTTACCTTTTCAGTTTCAGGCACCAAATCAAATTCATCTTCTCGTTCGACGTACTCCTCATTCTTCTCAAGCTCTTTGAAATCTGGAGCAAACGCACTCCAGTTTTCAGTATAGTCTTTAGCCCATATATAAACCAAGCCAGTCAAAGAAACAGAAATGATAATCGGATGAACAGGATGCCATGCCAAATCCATCAATGCTTCTTTTGGGCCTTCAAGAATTTTAACAAGATGCCCGGCCCTATCCCATATATAAATTTTGTGCTCTCCTCTACTTGCAGCACCAACAATCGCCCACTCTCCATCACCACTAAAACAAGGTGCTTTCCACTGGACCCTAGTGATGGAATCTTGAAACTCATGGAGAAGTTCCAAGCACTTCGATCCAACAGCCTTCAATTTCTCCACATCATCTGGTTCACTGAAGCTCTCATTCAATTCATCAAGCATCTTTAATCCATCTTTAGGAGGTAGAAGATTCTTATAGATTCTAATCATCCGGTCATTGGAATTTGTCAACATGTACTGTCCATTTCTACTAAACACAACATTTTTTATAACAAAGCCACCAGAAACAAGGACGATGGCACACACTCTGACATTCTGGTGATCTATTATAAGAATTTCTCCCCTTGAAGTTCCTGCATAAACCAGATCCCCATGCTTGTTAAAGCATGCATTGCACGGAGAGTAAGTTACTGATGTATCTGATGTCTTGTTACGGGGCAGAGGAGCAATTCCGTTGCTCACATCGGCAGTCAAAACTGGAAGAGCTGTTGTGCTTCCAGTGTTCAAGTCAACGATCATGGGAGATGATGAGAAAGGGCAGGCCAGGCAAATAGATGGAGTCGAGGAACCAGGATGAAGACGAGCTTGTAGAACTGTATGCTGCAGAGTTGTATGTGCTATCTTCTCTCCACTTAGAACATCCCAAAGAATAAGAGATTTATCAGAAGCAGACACAAGCATGCGGTGGCCATATGTGGACCAGCAGACACTCGTAATTGCAGCAGTGCATTCTTTGTCACGGAGCTCTTTTGCGACGCCCCGGGTCTCAAAGTCCCATATAATGCGACTTCCATCGGTGCATCCAGCTGGAAAAGGAAATCAAACTGAGTATGATTCACTGATCGAAGAAATAGCACAATCAAGAACCACAGTGATTCCTTCATCGAACAACAGACAGAAAAATCCTTAATTTTCAAAAGAAGCGCCAAAAAAAAAAATCAAACAAAGATGCAGATATTTACAGATCACACTCCCTGTTTTGATCACAGGACTTCCAGAGCCAGCATAGAGTAAAACGAATGCTAAAATTTATGAATAGGACTTGCAAATTGCATTCAATCAAGGAACTATAATTACTTCTCCAGATTAAAATTAGGGACCAGCACAGTCACTATAATTACTATTTGGCAAGCTTACCGATCATCAATTTACTATCGCATTTTAAAAATTGGTGATGGAATATTACTTTAATCTTTTCTGAGTTGGCAAGCTTACCGATCATCAATTGACGCACTTTAAATGTCCTAGGACTTACCATAATCATCTACTTTAATCTTTTCATTAGCTCCGTTAGTTTTTAATAGATGAAAGCTTAAGCTACATTTTTTTCATCAAGAACCACGTAAGAATGAAAAATAACCCGCATGGCATTTTCCGTCCACTTCGTTTTAGCATAATTAAATGGAGGCGTTTTAAAGGAATTAAAAAGAGGCCTCAAGTACATCAAAGTTGCGAGTTTTAGGATTTAAATGCTTGAAACATAAATTTTTAGGTCTCAAGGACTTGCTTTATGATTGTCCCTAAAAAATTCAATGCAACTCCAAATGTCATCAACACATCAACTGAATTGAACTGCGAAAATTCGACAATCAAAGCAAGTGAATCGCAACATTCACTTCTTCCACGGTCTTTCCAATAGGTAACCTGGTCATGGAAAACTTGGAGCACTTCTGATGAAGTTTTGCGTTTTCACTAAATTGGTTTCTTCCTTTTCTGTTTCTTCAATAAAACCTTGCATTCATGATAAGAAGAAGTTAGGAATTATCAAAAATCAATTCCAACTGGTGGCTGATTCAGTATGCTAGTGTCATTGGATCGATTGGCTTCATAATAATATTAAGTATGCAAACTATGCTGTTCATCAAGCTAATCCATTTGGTTTCGAATACCAAAGAATAAGGCCACAGGAAAAGCACAGTGAGACTCGTCAAGTCCTCGGGAACTTGGTGAGGTCGCTTGACATTCGTCGGAAAGTTTCTGCTCAACTCTTTTACAGAAATACGAGGCCAACTTATCGAGTATCGACTGATGACCGAACACGATGAACAAGGAATAAAGTGAACACAAGTGTTTGATAAATTCGACCCATCTGACTTGCCCCCAGGACTATATGCCAAGAAGTAAGCGGAGGGCACAATACTTACTAGACTTAGTTTTACTCTGTACTAAAATATATTTTGGGTACATGCATCGACTCCACAAAAACCAAGCCTCAGTAGCTTCAAAACCAGCCTCAAAATGAGTAATCCTTCAAATCTGCTCGCGAGTCGTCCAAGTCCATGTCGGTCATGCACTCTTCCGCTGAGAGAGGGGGGAGTTGCCTGGTCTTCCGCTTCAAATTGTGCTTGTGCCAGTCGCTCTTGAAGTGCTCCCTGTACTGCTTTGCGGCCCCTACCAACGCATTGCATGTGCTGCACTTGTTCTGCTTTACTTCCTCCTCCGTGCTCTCCTTTTTAGACGTGAGTGTCTGTTTCTGCATCCTCTCACTTAGCTGGACTACCGAATCGGGTTCAGACCGGGATGGGATGTCCTCGTCATCATCATATGGTCCACTTGGGTATCTCCTTCAGCATGCACTGAATATGCAAGAACTTCCACTCTCCCCTGCAAGTTTCTTACCGAGGCTTCACAGTCCCGGTAGAATCCTGGTTCAATTTCACATACCTGCATAAAATGCGTGTGCTCGTAAACAGAGGCACATCATACCTAAACACACAAGACTAATCCTCATTGCACAGAGCATCACTAGCTTAGGATTTTTACCGCATCATCTCAACTTATCTAGAGCAGATCTGTAATGCATAAAAAAGAATGTATTTCTTGTCATCCTAGGTGCAAGAAAACAATATAGAAGAGATCCAATTTATTTCCATTAAAGAGGGGTTTCGGATATTAGTCCAAACTTCATCACTTGACAAGAAAATTCCAGACTCATGGAGTACATATACGTAGAGGCATATTGTCCCCGGCCAAACATCTATGCACATAGAAGATGTCATTAATTCTCATCGCAGAAAACTACAAACAGCACCAAAGAAAAATTAGAGAAACTGGTAAATTGAAGAGCCTACCCTAACAGAAGCAGGAGCTTAGCTAATATGAGAGAAAAAAAAGCTCCTAAAAGGGGGATAAAGGAAATGAAAAATGATAATCAAACAAGAAAGAAGTCGTCTTAACACTCGTCCAACGTTGTAAGTCGGTGTGTAAGAATCACCCTATTAGAGATACTCTTAGATATGCACTTTATTCTGTGATGGGGTCAATCCAATAAATGCATGCAAAAGTGAAGAACATAATTTCAGAGTTCACGAATTCAGAAATGTTTTCATGTGCGACTTATGTAGTGTAAGTGCAAATCTTCCAAGAAAATGGTCTAAGACTTACAACAGATATTTCACTTGCAGATTCATCCCTTGAAACGATACTAGCATTCCATGCATTGAGCTTTTCCACGAGCGAAGAAACATTCTGTTCAGTGATGATGAATCTGAGCCTCATAGGAGCTCTTTTTATTGGAAAATGCTTTTGAAGTTCACGTATAACTTCCAGTGCCTGCATGAGAATTTAGGATATAAGCTTATTAAACATAGCGATGTGAAGCGCTGCAAAAGATTGATTCCTTCATTAGGTTTTGTACTATTAAACGTTTGTGTTAATATGAGCATATAGATGTCCGATCTTGCTATTTTCTGCATACACAGTTCAAAGCAATAAATGTCCAAAAATTCCTCTGTAAATATGTGCAACGGGGAAAAGCTAGTTACCATAGAAATTTAACTGAGAAACAAGGAAAAAGAAAAGAAAAGATAAGAAAATCCAACAGTAAAATATCATGATACTCTAAAGATGACAAGGCCTTATACAGTATGAAAACAGACATTTATAACATCAAGTTCATGATATTCTAAAAGTTTAACCGAAGCAAAACATTATTCTGCAAGTCCATCTTTTTAACAAGATTTCTATTATAAGTCCATCAAAATTGAATATCTTGATACCTGCTTCTTTGAGTTGCTATTTGGCTCAACAGCGAAGTGAATTTCATGCATTAGTCGTTCAATCATGCTAATAGTATAAGGGCGTTGAGTTTCAGGATTGATCGTCCTCTGCATAACAATTGTGGCAATATCTCGAAACTGACTTGCGAATTGGATCTCCCTCTCCTTTCCAGCAACTTGAAGCTCTCCTCTATCCAAAATCTACATGAGCAATAAATGCAAATAACAGAAGTTGCAAGACTTGCGAACTGCAGACATCTATTCTAATTCACCCCCAGAGAAAATTGTACACACATGATTTTCTCCTTGTAACGATCCACAATATAATATCACTGACCTCCAAACATATTTTTGTCTGATCATCTGTCCCAAGGGATTTCATTAGGTCTTTTGACTTGGCAAGAACTCCTTTTGAAACGTTTGAATACACAGTATGCGACTGGAGTACTTCATCCACATCCTGCGCGCTGTTCCACGAAAAGTAACAATTATATCTGCATCGCAAAATACTTCCCTTCTATATAATGTTTGAAACATAGAAGCAAGTATCAACAGGGAGTCTTCCACAGTTTAAGTGAATATGAAGAAGTATCAATTGAAAACACAGAAATTATATTTTTCACCATCTTCAACATTCTTGATGCTCACATACATATAACTCAAATTTCAAATACTAGACAAAGAATCATGGAGAAGTAATTCTCCTACGCAGCGAAGTGGCCATTCAAAATTTAACACGGCAAGCGGCGTACAGGTCATTTTAAACTCAATACAGTTCCAAAGAAGATGGCAAACAAGCACGCATCGTCCGAGGAGTTAGAGAGAGAGAGAGAGAGAGAGAGAGAGAGAGAGAGAGAGACTCACACGCCAGAGCGCCAAGATAGGACTTTGTTCTTGTAGCAGGCGATCTCGAAGCGCATCCCATGCTTCTTGAGCCGGACAACGGCCACGTTGGTCAGCCTCTTCTGCCCGACGGGCTGCACCAGCGTCTTCGACATTTCTCCCTCTCTTTCAGAATGAGCTCAAATCGATCAGACCTGCAACAAGAAAAGCCGCACCGTTATGTAACCAAGCTAGCAAACAAACAAAGAAACTGGAACAATTTCAAGATAAAGTGAACGCGTTAGGTCCGCCAAGAAACGGCGGAAAAGAAGAGGTGGCAGTGGAGAGAAAACGGTGATGAAGTGAAGTTAGGGAGGGAGTATTGACGGTGTTGTCTCTTCCTTGTTAGGTACTGCTCCGTTGGGGAATACGTGGGAACGTCGCCGGGGAGTCCTTTCACTTTTCAATTCTAGTCCTTCTTTCCTTTTGAATTTTCATTTTCGACCCCTTAACATTTTGGAATCCTATTACCAAAAGATCTTTCCGATTTGTATGAGGAAGTCACAATTGCTGTAACATGCAAGTGATGTCGCATGGGAAAGTGTGAGCCCTTCATGTTCAAGAACCGTGCGGCGAAATAATTTGTTGCTCATAAGATGTGACGCTTCGGTGCTCTCTAAAAAAAAGGTACGTCGAGCCTTGTATAGTCTCTGTCTCGCAACTCTTTTATTGTCTAGTCGAGTGCTGCCCATGCTATACTCCGGAAGTACCCAATAACTTCTCGACGGTTCGGAGCAGAGTTCATCACATTTCGGTTGTATTCGAAACCATAACTGACAATGCATTTTTTAAGTTAAGTTCAGCTTTCGACTGTGGATTCTCTAATTCTCAAGATTCATGCAAAGCACGGGGAGTCATCCTCAAGAAGGGGATTTGAAATAGGGGGACGGATTGGTTTAAAGCACATGTGACATTGTCTCTCACGTAGGCGAGGCGTAGAGGCTAAACAAAGAACTTTGGTCTTTGTTTCTCGGAGAAGCAATATATTGCCTTGTTGAATTTGACTCTGTTGACACCTGAAATTAATTAGAGATTTCATTGTGAGGATATATGAATAAAACGACAAGAAATGACATCACCTGTACTGAAATGGCAGCAGGCAGGTACGGACAGTCGTAAGCGGGAAATTTGAAATTCAGATGGAGGGGGATTAAGAATGTTGAGAGAATTTTCATCGAAGATGTCGACAAGGAGAAGAACGAATGTCAAGCCATGAAAGATTTGATAAAGGCCTTTGTTCCAGAAAAAGACAGATGTCCAAGTGCTCAAATGCTTCTCATCGATGAAATCGATGAAAAGGGTGATGGATGTCAAGGCATAAAAGCTCGATGAAGGTCCTTAT